GGCCAAAGTTTTCTGCAGCTCACAGATCAGAAGTGAAAAGCGAAGAAGGGAAAGTGCAGGAAAAGCGCGGAAAAGCGAAAAGAAAATCAAATAAGTTGGCGTGAAGCACCAAACACAAGTAAGGAGTGTCCAGCTGCCAGACCTGTTGTCCTACATAATTAAAAGTGAAACAGTAGCATCCTTGACGCCTGAACTGCGAAGAAAAGAAAGAAACGTAAGAAACTGAAAGGGGAGTTGACGGTCCCTTTTCGGTATCCCTTTTCAATTATTTAGATAATTATTTGCACATTTACGGGTTGGCAGTTCGGGTGAAAAAATCGAAGAGTGCCCCCCCTGCCAGAATCAATTATCACCTGGAGATTACATTACGCATTCGCCACGTGGGCCGTGCTCTCGAAATTTTTGCCCACTTCGTGCATTTTCACTTAATTTATGCAATTAATTTAAACTCTGCCATGTCAAATGCAACTCTCTCCCTTCTTCAACGCCTATTATGGCCAGCAAATGAATGAAGAGTGTGGAAAAGGGCGAGCAACTTGCTCTGACAAGCTCTGTCACTGGATTGTGTCCTTGTGTATCCTGCAATCAATGCAAACAGCAGCGTAATCGCATTGACCAGGCCAACCACCAGACATTAACTGGGACAATATTGCTGCTGACAGTAACAGCAACTGCAGAAGCAGCAGCAACCACATCAACAATAACAAGAATAATGCAATGCCATAAATAAACATCATGAAGCACGCTCGAAGATGAATTGCCTCCGAAACAGACGCTAAAAATGCATTTAAAATTTCAGAAACTTAAAGGGTCTACATAAAAGTAACCACGACGAACATTTTCGATAAAGCAGAAGCCATAAATTCATTTTTTCAAGATTAAAATTTTCTGGGAGCAAGTTCCGACCTCATCATTTGATAATTCATTTCAATACACTTCAGATTACTGTAGTACATCTGAGAAATAAATATTATTTATTGGTTTAATTAAATTTTGATTACATTTTTTGTCATTTTTATGATACCTAACCAAAAATGGCTTTTTAGAAAAGTGTCGAAAAAACGCACTTCTTCGCCTATAAATTTTCTTACAGAAACCCGATTTCAAAATGGGTTACTTCAAAATGATCGGAATTCAATTCTCTAAAAATCTGTATACTCATCTTGGTTTGTATTTTTTGGTCGATTTTTAGTCATTTTTATGAGCTAACCCCTTTCCAAATTTTCGAAAAATGATTTTGCTGAAAAGTGACCAAAAACCTGCACTTCAAAGCCCACAACTTTTCTTACAGACATCCGATTTCAATGTGGAATATTTCTAAATGATTATGACTTAATTCTCTAAAAATCTGTATACTCACCTTGGTTTATATTTTTGGGGCGTTTTTTCTTTATTTTGAAGAGGTAACCCCTTTCCAAAAATTTTGAAAAATGAAAAGTGCACAAAACTGCACTTCTAAGCATATATTTTCTTTACAGAAAACCGATTTTAAATTGTCATACCTCAAAATGAATGTGGCTTAATTCTTTGAAAATCTGTGTTTAAAACTTTGTCTGTATTTTTGGGTTTTTGTCGTTTATTATGATTACTCAAGAAGAAATTTGCCTATTTAATTATAGAGATTAGACTAGTAAATAATAAAATATAATATAGAATAATTAAAATAACATAATAAAAACACCGAACTTGCGATAAAATGAATAAGCTCCAAAACAAAAGCATAAATCGCATTTAAATTTTAGGAAACAACCAGAGAGTGTCCAAAAAGTGGCCCGGGTTCATTGGGCCCCAAAAAGCACGCCCAGAACCTAAGCAGCCGAAACGAAACGCATTAAAAGTGCAACAGTTTCGAGTAAAGTTATTCCTGTTTGACCGCTGGCTATTCGCTGAAAAGGGGGACAAAAAAATGGCTGTGTATATGAAAAGCACAGCTTTTTGTGGTAGAACTCTCTCGGCAGCTGCAAAGTAATCACAGCAATGGGTTTTGTGCTATTTCCATTTGCCGACTGCGGAGTTTTGAGCTGTGCTCCTTGTTTTTCGGCTGCTTTCGGGCAGTTTTTAAAAATTAACACATAACAACACAGAGGCGAGCAATCACTGCACTGGCTGGAAGCACTTCCGCTCCGAAGGCTACAGCCAAACATTTGAAAACTTTTTACATTTACATCAAGCGTTTGCTGTTAGAGCGTTTTATTAAATTATTACGCGAACACACACACACACACGCAGACGAATAGCTGGGGAAAATTCATAGACTGAAAGTTGGGGCTTTATGAGCTGCTCCTAGTTTGGCCTTTTGGGTCGCATAAATTTCCGTTTCCGGAGACTGCAAATGAGCCACAAGCGGCCGCAGTCGCCCAGTTTGGGGTCAGTCGGAGCACTTTAGGCCACAACTAAATTTGTGGTCCTTTCGCGGCACGCATTATGATGCACAGAGCACTGAGAACAAATTATATTAAATGAGGGTCAAGCCCTTCTTTTTTCATGCTTATCTACATTTATATTACAAGTTTGTGTATCAAGATCAGAAAGTCATTTGCAAAATACCAAAAAGACATGTTCATACATTCGTATGTCTTAGAATAAAATATATTAAATTATGTCATAAAATAAAATAGTGTATTCATTTTGTGTGCTTAAAAAAATCAATTACATGTTTATTTAATATTTAATATTTTATTTTGAAGCATGTAATGTAAATAATAATTTTGAGTTCAAAAGTATATAATTATATAAGTTGCTTTATAGTAAAGAGATATGGATTTTTCAGCTAAAGAAATTTTATTTACATTCTTTAAAATTTTAAAATAATTTTTCAGTGTAGCTGGTGCGGCAACAGTAGCTCGGATAGTCTGGCCAACAGCAGGAGGCCATCCAGGACATCAGTCAAGCCGCCAAGCTTAATTAATTATGTCGTCTTTCAGTTTAAAGGCGTTTAAGATGCCCAAAGCGAGACGGTGCGAGAGGGAAAGCGGAAAAGCTGGGGAAGGGATTGAAAAATGCGGCTGCCGCATGCCGACAATGAAAAACGCGACCGCAGCAGCAAACAGCAACAATGCAGCTGACTAACTGCCGCCAAGTGACCCAAATTATTCACGATGAGGACGATGATGAGAAGGACTTCGAGAAGATGAGTGGGCTGGGGAAACCACTCTCAGGGCCGTCAGCATTGCATGAATTATTTTATTCTTTTCCCCATTTTCGCAACTTTTACTCCTGGGCACTTCTGCGACGGCAGGCGTCAAAAGGGCGTGCCACATTTTAATGGAAAGTGTTAAACTCTCTACTTTTATTTTCGTTAACAGTACTCTTTTTCTAGTGCAAATTTATTTTATAAATTATAAATTAAAGTCTATTTCTTTTTGCAATGATATTGTATTGTGTTTTGAAGTCATATAATGAGGTTTCGCATTACTTGAAAAGTACAAAAAATATATAACATATAATACTGCTTAACAATATTTATTTTCCTCTTATTAACTTTACATCTCATAAAATATATTAAATTTAAATATAAATACAAATTAATAGGTAAAGTACAGCTAAAAGTACTTAAATGGTTCGAATTTCCCTAACTTAAAGTCTTCCACTGCTAAAGCTAAATAGGCTGAAATATTTGTATGAACAAAAATATGATTAAGTAAAATAAAAATTGCCAAAGTCCTAAGGTTATTTTATACAAATATGTGATATAGTTACATATAATATTGGTAAAATCCTAAGGATATTATTATATATTGTATTCTTGCCGAGGTAAGAAAAACGATTCTTTTGTCAACCAGCAATTTCGTTTCATCGGTTCACACCGCCACCATGAAAATCGTTTAGCATTAATAAAACGCAAATAAAAACTCTGTCAAAGCGCGGCTGAATCTGTAAATGGGGGACAAAGCGGCGTATACTTGATACGGGCTTAGCTGCTGTGTGTGTTTGTATGTGTGAGTGAGCGAGTGTGTGTTTGTATGGGAAACGGCACGCAAAGCATTTTTGATTAGGCGACGCTCTGAAGCGCGCTACGTTTTTTGACTTTGGCACACGGCGTATACGCAACGTGAACTTTTGCCCCTGCCAGCTTGGCTTATTTAAGCGCTACCATCAATCCTTTGACTAACCTCACTACCCTTACCCCTTTCTTTCTCTTTCTCTCCCTTTCCCCTTCTCCCTCTACAACTCCCTTGCTCATTCTTTTACGCGCTTTGACATTTTAAAAGCATTTTTATGTAGATGCTGTATGTGTGAGTGACTTTTTGCGGTTTGCATTGAAGCTTGTATAAAAATGTGTTTGTGCCTGTGCTTAAGTGTGAATAGCCTGCATTGCCCTCTCAAATGTTTTCGCATAGTTTTTGAGCTTTGCATTTCTTTTACATCTTTTACGTTTTATTTTCAGCTGTTGCAGAAATCACAAAATGATTTCACCCCGTTCCAAACCATTTCAGTTTATTTTTTTTACCATTTTAATTATTTGCAGTTATTTAAACCATTTAATGACTATTATTTTGCTGTTAATTATGGGGCATAGAACCGAAGGTGACTGCAATTCCCCAAAGCCGTTTATTAACAACTAATTGCGACTGGCAATGCGTGGAAAAAGTTTGTCATTCTCGCTCAGCGTTTTTTTTGTTAGGTTTTGTTTTGTTATTTAATTTAATGAAAATTGATTATAATTGTTTGTTAAATTAATTGAATATTGTTCATTTGTGCGGTTTGCGCATAGAAATTACCAGAGGGCAAGAACATCGAATGCTGCAACATTGATAGCATCAGCTGCAATTATGGTCAATATTAACAGCTCAGCAGTAAATGTGGTTGCAGGGAAATCAAGGATTATTAGTTATCCAATTGTGGCTTCAGATTTGACTCCTCATAATATTCCCATTAGGGCAGATTAAGTTTTGCCGACCTACCTTAATAGTCTGTCCAAAATATTTCAGGTTCAAAACAACATAAAGGTTTTTTTTTTTACATTTTATTTATGTTCTTCAATCATTCAAACTTGCTTTTCACCACATCCGACACTGATCTTCTTTTGGGAAACATTCAAAAGCGCTGTCGAACGGAAAATAGCTGTACAGCATTTCCTTCAACCACACATTGTTATTATCCAGACCATCTCTGCAGAAGGACTGCGCCGCATTTAGAAAGAATACCTGTTGCAGGGGAAGGCTGGTAATGTTGTTTGGGTGAACACCAATGACCGAGCTATCGCTTCCATTCTTCGAACTGCTTTTAATGCTTTCCAAGTAAGCGGAGTAGGCGAGATTAATTCCACCGATATGAGCCAAGAGACCTTTGATGTTTGAGTCTGTTGTGTTAAAGCACTGCAGACTCTCCAAGAACCGCGGCGAATTCGCGATTTCAACTCCAGCTTCGTTAAGGTTCCCCTCGCTGTCGAACCGGATATTAATTGGGTCGATGGCGTGCATGAGTTCTCTGGCGAGAACAAATCCCATTGAGCTATACTTGAAGACGTCGTGGGTGTTCAACAGAAAGAATGGATCCTGCACTAGGTCAACTGGTACGACGATAACGTTCCCTTGGGGCAAATAGTACGGCTCAGCGCTTTCAATCATGTTTGGTTCGGTCAAAATGAATTCATTTTTGGGATTTGGAGCCGGTTGGCTTAATTTCGTCAGATGCTTTCTGTTCCAAAACTGCGAAAGAATGAGGTGATCCCGAGCAAAGTCCTGGTCCACCAAAGGAATCTCCAGACCCTCATAGTATTTAAAGAGAAATTCCCGAAGATTGTGCCCCTCAGGCAGTTTGCTGATGTTGAGGACAGTGTCCCGAACCTTCCTCGAAACCATATCCTTCTGCTCTGCGGTCAGGTCAAGGCGATTGTGCTGGATTTTTAGGAGCAACTGCTGGCGAACTCCTTCAAAGATCTTCTCAATTATCTCTAAATGATTTTTGAGATTTAAATTGCGGCTTTCCGCAATGAGCAGGCTTGTGGCCATATACATGTGGCGGCGCACATACTTTATGCACCCTATTGAATCTCCACTGCCTTCGATTTCGTTCTGCAGAAAGATGGCAAACTTGATCATTATATAGTTACCCAACAGCTCAGGGTCAGTGAATTCTAATTGCCGCTTGAGGGCGATAAAGTAATTCAAGTTCTCCACCATCAACCGGAAGTTGGGTTTAATGTCGATGCCAACTAATGTCTGGACGAACTCCTGCCAGTCGTAACCGGTTTGTCTCTTCATGTTTTCCACACTCATAATCTGGCCGTTTTGCTGCGATTCGGCTAGTGAATTAATATCAAATTCCATATTACCGAGCTTTCGCAAGAGAGTCGTGATCCTAACTGACGGTATGTTCAAGTCCCGAAGAATTCTTTGTGCTTCCCGAAAGTCTAATGCCTGGATGTTCTCGGGGCTACTAAGCTTCAAGAGAATACTAGAATTGTTATAATAATTATGATCAAACTCCATGTTTAATAGAACATCGTTAAGGCCGTATCGCCGCAGATGTGCCAGGGTTTTTATCCACTTAATTGGATCCTTAGGCCAATCAGTTCCATTGGTCGTCAAAAGAGGCCAAGTGAGCCCTTCGCCTGGAGGAGCCAGTCTCAAGAAATGCTCAATCTTCCGCGTTGCTGGCGGCGCTTCGAGGCAACTGCGGTAGAATCTTGAGAGCCTCGCATCGATAGAATCATGGTGAATCCCTTCTAGCTTATTTACCATTTCTAGAAGGTAATTGTTCACCTTGTGGTTCACCTCCTCAAAGATTCCGCTGAAGGGCTCATCAATGTGGCGCTCCGCGTACTTGCCACACGCATGTTCGTAGAAGTCGGTGCACGGGCTGGAATCCTCGTTTCCATTGCTCAGGGTGTATTCCAGCATCCATGAATCAGATTCGTCTATAAAATTCTCATATAGATAAGCGTTCACAATTGGAACGAGCAATAGCCAGACCATCCACTCCATTGCTGCAGCCAAACTAAACTGAGAGCTTAGACTTGTAGCGCTCAGTGGTATAAGCTCTAGCAACTGATAAGGAGTATAACTTTTGGGACTTCGACAAAAACAACTAAAACTACAAGAACGGCACAGTCCATTAATATAGTTTCAAGCATTTTAACAAGCTAAATTGATTATCAACGATTTAGTCAGATTTTGATAAGAAGTAATAAGTTTATTTTACAAGTACATATGAAATTCTAAAATTATTACTTCTTAAATTTATATTTAAATATTATAATTTGTATGTTGTACTACTATGTTTAGTATAGCTGCACGAAATTCAATGTCAAGGTCTTGATTATAGATGAGCAGCTGCTGTTATCAATTGCTGTGACAGCAAAGGCCATACAAAAACAATATTTATTGACATCAAGAAACCCAAAAAAGTTTTTAAAATGTAAGTAGTGTCTCCACTTGTTGGCTTACTCGTTAAATAATCAATTCTTACAAGAGTCTTAAACAAAAAAGAATTGTAAGAGTTCACATATTCCTAACACAACAGATAGTATCGGCGATATAAGCAGTGAAAGTTCAGTTCTGTTTTTAATTCGGGTTTAATATCCGATGTAAGATGACGGTTTGAAGCAAATACTGAGATGACTTTTTTCTGTGTACCTGTTTTTATTCATCTATATGCCATCTGCTCATTCATCGGAGTGTAAAAATCTTCCATGGATCCACTTTTCGCAAGTTTCTAGTGGCAGTTTTCCTGCACCATTCCCCATCTCGACGTCACCTCATCAGTTCGCACGGATTCCATTTCGTTTGCATTTTCCGAGAGTGCCACGCCCCCAGAAAGACCCGGTGCGCCCACTCTTCACCTGGCAGCTGGGAAAGCGCATGCCATTTATTAAGAGGCAACTATCAGTTTTGCCCTGCAACGGCGACCGTGTAAAATACTTTTCGAAACTTTTCCTAAGCCAACAAAACAGGCGGTGGAGCTGGAAAAAGTGGGCGGTAGGCGGTGGGCGGTGGGCGGGGTCACCCAGTGAGGGTCAGTTGGCGTCTTACGCTCAACTTTCGCTTGCATGCACTTTGCTCACTTTCCACTTTTCGCTCCGCCGTTTGACGGTCAAAAGTCAACTCGAAGTCGAGTTCACTTCAAGTTGAATTTGTTTGCAGGGGCAAGTGGGGCCAACTGAGGGGCAAGAGGCGAGGGGCGGATCAGCTATACTATAAAGCTGGAGTGATTCATTACTTTGATTCTTTGACTTCTATTCACTTAGTTGTCCTAGTTGCGTGTGCCATTTTGTGTGCTTTCATTTTCAGCCAACCACCACAATGTTCGTTTCTGGCATTCTCATTTCCCGTTGCACAGTTTTAAACTGGCTCAGACAAATAATGACTCAATCTTTTGCTATTTTTATGCTCATTTTATACTTGCCAAATTTTCAGCAGAACATTTGCTGCCGTCACGCACAACAAAAATCTGCTAAAATATGTTTTAATATAAGGTCCCCCCTCTCATAAGCTCGCTCCTCCAACTTTTGTTGGTTAAAAAGAATGTCAAACAACGACGGCGATGGCGAAAAGTTTTCGGGCCAACTCTAATAATATTAAGCGTATAGCATAAATATTTAAATTTCATTGTCACTCGCACTCGGGCGTCCCGCATTTTTATGCAAATACTCACCAGCCAAATTTATTCGCCTTTGTCACGCCAATAGCTGAAGCCCAAGCCAAAGATACACATGAGTCTGAGTTCTGAGTTGGCAACATGCGGTGGCCCACGGCAAGACATGGCCATCAACTCTGGCCAGTCGGAAATATTACCAGTTGTAATAATATTTGATACCCTCACTGCATTCGGAAACTATCGGACCAGGAATCATCACCAAAAACTAGATGGGGATACCTTTAATATCTGCAGTCTTAAGATAACAAACTAAAGCTGAACAACTCAGATAAATCTGGCACACATTTTGTTTTGTGAAAACACAGTTTATGTGTATGAGTTATAAATACTACTTACTTAACTTAATAATGTTAATTTCTATTTATTTATTTTGATATTTATTTAGAGTTTTCTCAAGTTAAGTAAGATGCCGTAGATATGTTCGTGGTACCACATTCTTTTGGGTGTAAGCCACCATTCAAAAGGGTATTTAACCCAGGACTTGCCTTGCCTGTAGTTTCGGGCTTTCGAGGGCATAAAACAGAGGGCTTTTGGCTGGAGGTCGGGGGTCGTGCTGTCGAGTTGAGCGGTCGATGGGTGGCAGCCAAATGAAAACATCGAATGGCTTGTTTGCCTTTGCCAGGTGGGTCGCAATCGTTGTCGTCTGGCTGATAACTTGGCAACTTCAACTGCTCAAATTATGTCGCCAGACGCGGGCCGAGGACGACGACCGCCAAATGACTGGCGGGACAAACAAAGTCCGCACAGACACAGACACAGTCAAGCACACACAGATACACAGATACAGATACAGATACAGATACAGATACAGATACAGATACAGATACAGATACAGATACAGATACAGATACAGATACAGATACAGATACAGATACAGATACAGATACAGATACAGATACAGATACAGATACAGATACAGATACAGATACAGATACAGATACAGATACAAACAAGGACAATTGCCGAACGTGAGCGGCGCGACATGCCAAAATCGAAAGTAGGCAACATCAACATCAATAGTGGGCGAGAACCACACCCACACCCACACCCACAACCATGGCACCCACTTTTCCACAGACCAAATGGCGGCAAAAAGAAATGAACTGAAATAAATTGTACGTTTCCTGAGCAATTTCCATGGCCCGTCCTTTTTTTGCCATGGCTGTTGCTGGCAGGGCATTAAATAAAACGTCAGCTCCAACAATGCTAAAAGTGCCAGCAATCAAATAAATTCAAACGTGACCAAAAATATCCACATATTCGTATTATCCACTTTGCCCCGTCTGCCGGCTATGTGGACTTTTCGACTGTGCGGTTGCATTGTGCAGATTTGCGTCGCGCCATAAATTTCTGAGAATGTCCACACTGACCAGCTTAGTCCAACATCATCAACAACAATCGGGCAGCGTCTAGACCGGCCAACAATAATTCCACAGAATAGGTAATCATAATGGAGATATTGCTGCCAAAACTGTAATACTGAATCACAGCTGGAATCGTTGACTAAAGTGTGGCCACAAAATGTGTAAGGGTTCGCTCAGAGGTAATTCGATGATTTACAATGTGCCCTACACAGAAACAAAAAGAATATGCATACTCAAATAATTCCAATAGAAATGTCAAGCAAACAATAAATCGTTAAAAAAATTCTTGATAAATTGTACTTATATGTTTAAACATGATTTAACTTAATTCGTTTTTTAAACCAATCTCAATCTCCATTTAAAGGTGTTATTTGAATCCGATTTTGAGAAAAAAACATTTTTGTTCCATACTTTTCACAATTACTTTCACTTTACCAGATAATCCCTTAGTGGCAACCATAAAAAGGTTTCATTAAGTTGAGCACCTCTACAGATTAAATTTCTCCTTTATTTTTCACCCTTCAAACGTTTTATTATTTAAATCTGAAAATGTAATTAACCATCAATATGCGATTGACAAAATTTATTTGAATTTTTTGCACTTCAGTAGTGTATGGGGATTTTTTACCCAGCCGCCTGATGGCGAAATATGTATTTACCGATTCGAGAACAAAGCGATTGACATTAAATAAAGAACGACGCGAAAAACGGGAAAAAATGTGGCGAAAACAAGTAGAGCGTTGCACCATGACACATTTAATACGTATCCTATATGTACATATATGCATAGGCAAATGGCTTTATTAACACAGACTGCAGATATTGATATGATCTCGCCATAGGCCCAAAAATATGCAACCGATTCTGGTTAAAAGGTAAAGGGCAACCACGGCGGCTACGTGACATGCAGCTGAATCCGTGCATTTTAATTGAATAAAATAATATTTACCCAGCTAATGGCTTCATTGCACCAGTCCAAAGCAACAGCTCCAGACAATTGCTGCTTTTTAGTGTCAAACACTTCAAATCCGACTCATTCGTGCCGGCATTCACTCTTCGCGGCTTTATCCGTTGCAATAACAACAGCAGTCCCCTGGACCCGATCCCAACCACAGGTTCCCGGGCAACCAAAAACCAGAAACCAAAACCGGACCCGTGTCGAGGTCCTTCCGCCCCTGCCTCGCCCCCTAGTTGCCACTGACAAAACGGATTAGGCCCTAAAAGCAAGGACTTAATCTCTAAAAATATCATTCCACTGGCAGAAGAGCCCACGACTTTAGTTGGATTCTAAAAAGTACCCGGGGAATTTAATATTTATTTGTTTGATTTGGTTTTGTACATTTTTGTGTAGCAACTGAAATAATCAAACGAAGGGGTCAAGCGGGGCCAAGATTAGCTAAGTTAAATAATTTCACAAGATTGGAAAAACCAAAACGTTTTTTCAGTTTAAGACAAACTTTAAGATTTACTTATACTTTCTCAAATAAATATTTTGAATACACTGGTGTGTTTCAACTAATCAACTTTGAAACAGAGTTACATAATGCTGTCTAAGCGAAACCCCATTAGATTATCAAGTACTACAAGAACGAACAATAATTATTATTATTACTTTGTGGTTTTTTAATTTTTTTTTTTTTTTTTTTTGGGATTTGGTAATATTTAAATAATATGGAATTACGGTTTTAATTTAATCATAAGCGGACAACAATAACATATGGCATTAAACCTTTGAAACGATGGCAAAATGCAGCGCAAAATCGTCATAGCTTCATTGTTTTTAGTAGCATATGCATAGAAATCGAAATGTAGTCGATTTATAATAACTGCAAGGGTAAATAAACATCGGATTGCCGAAGTTTGCTTCCTTTCTTGTTGTATAATAATTTAATTTTCCTCTTACAAATACCCGCATTGCAAACATGTATGTGATTTCGTAACTTATCAGCTGTTCTTGACTCAGTTTTTCGACTTCGAGCAGACTTTTTATAGCTCAGTAATAGAAATCTGAGTTCTCAGTTTAATTTGCGCTTACCGATAATGTGGATCGTCTGCCTGTTGCTAGTTTCATTTGTATCTGCCTCTCGATTTTCCGAGACTGCGGATGTCAACACACGAGTGTTAAATCAAGTCTTTAGCAATATGTTACAACAAGTTAATGTCTGTACCAATTTTGAAAAATATGTGTGTGGAAATTTCCCGTGGCGCTACTCCAGTGCGCCATTCGTCAATAGCTTGGAAATGCTGGACTACAATATAAATACAAAGCTCGTCCAACTGATGGAGGAACTGGAGCAGAGCTCTCCCAACGAGACGAGTGTGGAGGCAAAGGCCCTGCAGTTCTATCGCACCTGCCGCCAAGCCCCTCCAGAAACGCGCAAGCTGGGTCACTACTTGGGGATGGCTCCTCCAGCGGAGGGGCTCACCTGGCCCCCGTTGACCCCTCCTGGGAATGCCTGGCCAAAGGATCAGTTTAAGTGGATGGAAACCGTGGCAGAAATGGTCCGGTATGGCCTCAACAATGTTTTGATCAACGTGGAAGTTAGTCAAAATTGGCAGAACACTACCGAGACTCTATTACAACTAGGTAGTCCCAAGCCGAACGAGCTTATCAATACTAAGGATGCACGCAGAGCTCTTCGTGACATGGGAGTGTCATCAGATAAGATTACGACTCTCTTGCGAAGGATGAGAAAGCTGGAAAGTGATATTGAAAGCCTAATCAAATGGCACAACAAAGGCCAAATAGAAATAGTGACTGTTCATCAAATGGAAAAGAGAACTGGCTACGAATGGCAAAAGTTCGTCGAGCAAATAGTTGGTCATGCCATTCAACCCAACTTTCGGGTTCGTGTCAAGAACTGGCCCTACTTGGTGGACATTAAGGAGCTAATAGACACCGCCGACGCCGAACTAGTGGCCAACTATATAATGACCCGATTTTTCCTCTTCCTACAGCAGGGCATCACAGGGGGCCAGGACGCCATCGATTGCGTTAGAGATCTTCGCCTCTACATGGATGTGGCCTCCAACCTGCTGTACAAGGAGCGATTCCTGAATACCACAGAGCTCCAATTGTACACACAGGAAGTTGAAGACCTCTTCGAAGAAATTCGCCAGCAGTTGCTCCTCAAAATCGAGCACAATCGCTATGAACTGACCAGTGAGCAGAAGGAGTATGTCTCCAGGAAAGTGCAGGATGTGGTCCTCAACATCGGCAACATGCCCAAGGGACGGGATCATCGGAGCTTCGCCAACGAGCACTATGAGGGTGTGGAGTTTCCTTCGACGGACCTGGACTTTGGTCGGGAGTACCTCAAGATGAAAAAGTTTCTCACCCAGAAGGTGTGGTCGCAACTGCATGGATCGCCTCTAAGTCCCGAAGAAACCTTATACTTGTACTGGATGAAGAGCATCCCGACTTCCCTATTGCGTTATTACCCTCTCCAGAACACAATCTTCGTGGGCTATGGCGTTTTGCAAGAACCTTACTTTGTTCTGGGTAGCCACGAAGTATTCAAGTTCAGCAAGATGGGATTCGGTCTCGGCCATGAGCTGATGCATGCCATCGACAATCAGTTATTTATCTTTGACAGCCGCGGAAACGTTAACGAAATTGGCATCGAAATCGCGACGTCACCGCGTTTTCGGAATAGCATGAACTGCTTGGCCAAAAGTGGGTCAACCAAGTTGAGCGAACTCAGTGCGGATATTGGCGGTTTTGATCTGGCCTACTCCGCGTACCTTTCCAAAACTAGGAACTCCACAGACTTCACTTATTTTACACCTCAACAGATCTTCCTAATAAATATGGCGCAGGGTTTTTGCTCAGATGGCTATCCCCGTCCTGACGAACAACACGACGACGACATAAGACGCATAAATCAAATGTGGAATCTTGGTAACCCACCGCCTTATTTGGCTTTTGGATGTCCCCAGGAAACCCAACCGTGTCAACTGTGGTAAACAAAGCATTACAAAGCATACAATATTTTATTGAATAGTACTCAAATTTTTTGTCAGTGCAAAAGCGGACCAACAAGCAAGCCCGTAATATATTTCAAATAAATATTACAAAATGTATGTGAGAAATTGGTTTCCATTTTTTAGATATCCTATATTTTAAGACTCCGAAGAATTCGGTTGAAAATACACCGAATACAAATATTAATATTGAATAAATTTTTTTAAATTATCAATGGTATTTTAACGGAATATAATGTAAATCGGGTTAGGTGGTGCACTGGCATTGTGGGTGGCAGCTGCCTTGACTCCCAGCAAGTTTATTTTGTAGCTCTGATAAAAATCATCTCATGACAAAACGCGCCCGTCTCCACAATTAAGTCATTTAATTTAAATGAGATTAATCATAATTACAAGACACAAGCCGAAGGCCCAAGTGGCCTGGGTTGTGCTATTAGGTGGCTTTGGCTACGGAGTCTTGGTTTTTATGGCATTTTGCCTTGGCTGCGGTCAGAACTCTGAGTGACTGCGGGGTTAGGACTATGACGATGTTGATGACACACTGATTGACGGAACCTGGCTGTGGTTTCGCCATGTGTAAGCCCTTGTGGCCAGTGGCCCACCTTTGCAACAGGCTATTTGCCTCGAGTGCAGCGTGGGTTAATTTAAACACAAGCCGCAGCAAATTAACCTAATGCCAGTCGCGGCTCTTGGCTTTTGCATTAAAATAAGGCAAGTGCCAGCCATGTGAGTGGCATGCCCTGTAATGAGCTACACTCCCCTTTCATCTGGAGTGTGTGGAAAAAACTACCAATTGAATCCTTAGCCACGTGGTGTAAGAACTGGCTGCTCAACTCCTTGGTTTCTGTTTCTGATTCTGTTTCTGGATCTGGCTCTGCTGCTGGCTGCAATGCAATTTATGAAAAATAATTTAAATATCAAAAGGCTTTCGTTTTAATTACGCGCAAGACAAAAGCCAAGAGGCGAAGTCAGCACCAAAAAGGAAACGCCAGTGCTCAGTAGTTTGGGCTCGACCCCAGTTTTACTTCCAATATTTCCTCCCTTCTACACAGAAAACTTTTTTTAATAAAATCTCTTATTATTTTGTACAGTTTTGAACAATTTTTAACGTATTAGAATACAACTTTTTGGAGCTTCATTCGCACTACTTCCAAATGGTAGTATTTAAATTAAATAAAAAAAAAAACACAATCTTATTAAAAGGATTCAGTCTATTGTTTCATATAATTTTAAGAACTTTTAAATACATTTTGTATTTTTAATTTTGAAAAACAAAATTTTTAATAGAAATAACTAGGATTTTTGTAAAAACTTCAAACATAAGAGTTGTTGATTCTTTTATTAAAATAAATTAATTATTAATTATTATAAGCTCCAAAAAATATTTTCATTTTCTCGGTAATAAAAATATTTAACTAAATATATTTCTAAATAATAAATGCTTATATTATTGTCTTAAAAATGTAAAATAAGTTATAAATTGTATAAGGCATACTAAATAATACATCTAATATAAGACATAACTAGCTTATAAAAAACGATAAATTCTGTTGTGATAAAGTGTTTTTTGCTAGACAAATAACTACTGTCAGATTTTTCTTAAAATAGCTAATTATTTGAGTATATTTCACCCACATTTTTTCTCGGTGCATTTGCCAGCTTGGAACTCCATTGCTGCTGCTTTAATTCTGGGCGACGACGCCATTTCCATGCCCGCTGCGTTTAAATAATTAATTAAGATTGATGCAGACTCATTTGTCTTGCTGCGCGAAGGACGAGCCAGCCAGGATGCCGTCTCCCGCTCACTTTGCATTTTGCTTTTCAATTTATTTTGTTGATGCTGCTGTTGTTCGCGTCGCTGCTGCGTTGCGTTGCCGTGTTTCATATCGAAAGATTTTGCATTAGTTTGCATTAAAATTTCACTTTGTAGCTTTGCGCCGCCTTTAAAACTGCCAGTGTCGATGCCAAAAACGCGGAGGCAAATGGGAGCTCAGCATTTTCGCCTACACAGCAAGCGACTGTGCCCGCAACTCCGGCTTTTACATAAATTTTCCCCGGTCCCAGACAAAGTTGCATTTGCTGTAATTACATTGTAATTCTCGATCCGGCCCATTGCGCTGCAATATACTGGGCGTACGGAGCGGGGGCGTGGCATTTCGCTTAGTAAGCACGCATGCATTCGCTTGTCAAATAGGCGGATTACAACGCAGAAATGAGTTTATAAACAAGCCCCAGTCCCAGACCATACAGATAAAAAATAATTGCAATTGCCGAGGCGGAAGGAAAGCCTCTATGATTGGAGAACCGCTCAAACTATAAATCTCTTTAACTAGTTAAAGATTTGCCAGGCAATGCTTATTAAAAACAAAACCAACTGACAACTGTGGAAGTTTAAGAAACATTTAAATGTATAATAGTATTATAAGAAAAATGAAAATAAAAAATTATAGTACTCCTTAAACAAAATAAAAAATAATAAAGTCAACAATGTTTTGGAGGTTGTTTGTTCAATTATAATAATCAAAACAAGGGGGTATAGAAAAAAACCAAAATATTGTCAAAATTTATTTATTTATTCCCTTCGTCTAATAGTAAAACCCGTAACTATATTTGCTTTATATTCAATTTTAATTCAACAATATATTTGGACTTCTCTTTTGTTTGCCTGATGCAATTATATTATCCCTATTTGGAAATGTAAATTTCTGTTGGTCGTTATTCGGTGTGAAACGTGTTTTATGCAGTTTTTTTAATGCGCACAACGCGTCGAAGCTAACTTCTTGATTTTTACCATGAATTTATTTATTTAAATAATCCCATTTGTTTGGGAAATGTACCATCATGGCGGCGGCGTATCAAAATTTAAATTTAAATAATAATTAGTGGCGCGAAAATCGCTTTCGATGAATCGAAGCTTTCACAAATTGGCAAATAGCGCACAAATAATGGCAAATAAAAACATAAAATTAAAAAACAAAAGCCTTTCGGACGCTACTGTTGCTAATGAAAACGAAATTAATTAATTTAAAACAACAATTGGTCGATGTCATGGAGAATGGGGCGGAAAAAAAGGGCAGCTGGCCCACACGGCGTATGCGTAATTTCAATAGCATCAACAATGGCCGCATGAACCTGACTTTCATGCAGATATTTTCGAGTACATAGCCGTTACTGTATCTATAGGGTGTGTACATATTGCCAGCGATTGAAAACGCCCACACTTTGACTGGGCTGTCATGCATATGTAATTATTTCATAGCAAGCAAAACGATTCGCACGGCAAATGTTTGGGCCGTGCAAACAAGCTTTGAGAGAGCGCCACTCCGGGGGCGCAACGGCCACGCCCCCTTTCCCCCTTGCTGACATATTAAAAATATAAAAAAAAAAGTGGTAGGAGTAAGGCCGTAGCAAAAGTTGGGCAAACAGCGTTGAGCAGGCAAAAATTGTTGCATATTTTTTGGGGCACGGAAAAGCCACCCAGAAATGGCAGTACTGGCAGGTAAAAGACCAAAAGACCACGTACTTAGCCTGATTTACACGTCGCCATGGCGGCGAATTTGCATCACAAATGTGTCTTTTTCAGGTTGCTTGACTTTGCATAACCCCTTTCTGTGTGGAGTCCCCAATTGGGATACAGGACTGCTCAAAGTAATAGAGCTGCGATGACTCCATTTCATATTTTTCTCGGGCATCATTTGCGTACAATTTGCATTACAAAGAGATGTACACTTTGCCTCGAAACCTGCATAAAATATCCACTTGGCAACACTCATCTTGAGTTGACTAATTAGCAAACATCTCTAATCTTTGCTCACGGCTTAAGTTGGTTAAGTGCCTTTCGGTTAAAAGGGAAATCGACTGGCAACATCATTTCGATGGGGCAAAAAAATGGAAATAAAAATTACTAAGTCTCTTTCGGTGCAGCATTTCATTTCATTGTATTCTTTTTTTGGATATCCTTCTTATTCCTCTCCGTTGTTATTCTGAAGTGTAATAAATATTTATTTTTTCTCTGGACTTACAATTTTATCTCAAGTTGATTTTATGGATTTTTTATACATGTCTTTAACTAAATATATATTTTAATAAACTAATCAGATTTTTCCTTTATTCTGATTATCACAAATCGCTAATTAACTAAAATTAAAAATCTTTTCCCAATGAACTGGAAACATAATTTCGACGTAGAAAATATATTTGTCGTAGAATTGGTTTGTTGTTTACTAAATTTGTTTGCAATTTGTAAAATCAATTGAAACTACAAGCGGAGCTGGCAGAACATTCATCAACATACCAGTGCACACATATAAACGCACACAAAATGATATTCTTAAATGGGGAAAACAGGGAAAAACAAAGGGGATCGACTTGAAAGTGATTTATGGGAATGCATATTGATATTGCCAAATTGCAATCAAAATCGAACGAATATTCCAAATGTCAAAAAGAACTTACCGAAAATTGTTGTGTGTCTTGGTCTTGTCGATATCTGCAATGAAAATTATTTGAAATCATTGTAGCAAATATTTTTAGACTGCTCTCTGAAAAATAGGCAATTTACAAAACAGATAATGAAATGTTGATAAATCTTACATAATTGAAATTGTAATCTAAAAAGGTTTCCCTAATATTCAATGAAATAACTCCGTTTCAACCGAGAGGTTTAAAAATCCTCTATTTGGAATAAGTCAATGACATCAATTTCTTTTCAAGCTCTAATTGTTGGCCAAATTATGCTAAGTATATGTTTGTGTGGACTCTATATGTGCTTTGTCAGCTCATTTGAATGTCCTTCCTTTGTGTTTGCGCTTTCCGTATTTGCTTTGCGCTCAGACACCCACACACTTACAACACTCATGTTCCATTTGTTTAGACGGTGTCCAATCGTCTATGAAAATTTACCAACATGGCGTCTCGCTGAAAGTTGGCCAAAATGGCCGGCAGAAGGGGGAAATGGAATATATTTGGTAGGGGTAACACGAAAACAGCGACCACTACACTTGCAAGTGGATCAATAAGTGAGCTTATCGTCTGTTTTACACAAATACTTTTGTCCATTGGACATTGCAAATTTGACGGCATTTAAGTGCTGCCTAACGAACATCCTCCTACCCCATTTTTTGTCCTGTTTGTATTGCATTGCATTGAGTGTGCAGAAATATACGAATATGTGTGCAGGTGTCTGACATTTAATTCCAATTGCTTTTGCCTGCAAATTGACATTTCATGCTATATATAAAGTGACTGCCAATATATTTTCAACCAACATTCCCGAAATCAATTTTGGCCTAAAAGTCCAATTATAAATGGGATATTGCGAGCAGTTTTGAGTAAAATTTTCAGAGGTTTCGATTTAGGGAACACATCAGACAATTGCCATCATGTCGTTGCAATTTGTTTCAATCTATGTCTCTCTTTCTCTTTTATGTATCAACCCGTCTCTATCATTTTCTAAAGGTAGTTATAAAAAATAGAGAAAACTTTGCTACATGAACTGACTTGTATATTTTGCATTTGATGTATTACCTTTTTAATTGCCATAAAGCATTTTCATGTTGCTAAAAGCCTGTCCACTGTCCATTCTGCCCTCTCTTTCATTTAACACTACCCGTCCTTTTCTGTGCGCCTGCATATGTACACCTGTCCATGAGCTTATGCATTGTGAACATGCGAACTAATAGCTGCAAAGCAAGTTGTAACTTGGATTGGTGATTGGCCGTAATTAAAACCATCTCTGGAGGGCCATAAAACTGATGTCTGTGATGGAATGTGTTCTTAGAGATGAGCAGTAAGAAAATACACCCAAAAAAATGTATAGTAGTATTAGGCTTAATAAGAAAATTTAGCAAATACTGCAAATTCTAATATCAGTTTAGTTCTGAGTGAATTTTAAGCGTGTTAGGTCAATAATAATTAGCATCGAATCAACTAGATATACTTTCTATCTACATTAAAGTGTAAATAGTGTCATAATAATCTCTTTTTGTTGGTGTAGAGATCCAAATGCATACCAAATGATCTTAAAGTTGATTAAATAATGTTTCTATAAAACAACAAGAAGATATTTTTCATTCATATTTTCAAAGAATTTTATTTCATATTAAGAAATGGTAACCTCCTACTTTACGACTTCATACAATTTCTACTTTAGTTTTCCAAAGTCAGTGACAACTTTTCTGCCATCGACTTAATTAACTTCATTAACATTATTGCCCGGCCATAATCATATTAACTAATACTGATTGACTATTGCGACACGGACTATTGACTCATCAGTGTCCGTCGTGTTTTTCTATACGCTTCGCTGGACAGAGAAGCATGTAATTTGCCCTAACAATAAGTACGAATGTTTACAAGCAATAAAACTACAACCAAGTACAACCAAGCGGCACTCATAATGATATATAGACCGCAAATGCTGCACACATTTACAGGCCGAGCGTGCCACCACCACGCACACAAAAGCTTTAATTGTTATTTTAATGATAAAAATGGAGACAAATTACATTTACCCCAAAAATGTATGTGTGTTTTAGGATGGGGGAGCAGATAATTGTGGGCGGAGCGAAACAAAAGCAACAGCCATAAAAACTAATAACAAACAATAGCAACAGTTCATTACGGCTGCCTGGCTGCGCTCCACATTAGGCCCCATTTGGTAGCCAGGATCCTCCAATCCACTCCACTTTAGTCCTGGCACATGTCCGCACCCTTTGGGTGGGAGTAATGCCGTTGTATATATACCTACAAATCGACTCATTCGGCAGATTTATCTGTTTGCATTAGCGGCAAAGGAAATCGATAAAGCACCGCTGGGGATTAATGAGCACACAATAAAGGATAAGTGGGACACAGTCAAAGGATTCGGGGCTTAAAGTGAAAGTATTTTATACCCAAAACAGTCTGACATTAAAGTTTGTGAAACTACAAATAACATTTACTGAATGGTTTGCAAAAAAAATGTTTAAAGCTTATTATATATATTTAATAAAAACATTTAGAAACATAAGAATAATTATAACTTTTTAAACTGAATTATGTAAATACACTCATAGCAAAATTAACCCTAAATTTTAGAAATTCGCCCTAAAACTTTATTTTTTCTAAATCCAAGAAAAGATTTCTATTTTCAAGAAATTTTTTTCTCAAAACAAGAAAACTTTTCTTAAATCAAGAAAGTGTTTCTCAAATGTAGAAATTGTCGCCATAAACTAAACTCACCCTAAATCCAAGAAAGAATTTCTATATTTTAGTAAAAATGGTACTTATTTTTAAAAATTTTTTTCTTCAAATTAGAAATTCTACCCTAAAAAATTATTTACCCTAAAAAATAGAAAAAATTTCTGAAATTAACCTTAAAAATTCGATAACCCTTAAAAATAGAAACGCTTTCTTAAATATAGAAATATTTTCTTAAATATAGAAATATTTTCTAAAAAATAGAAATTAATCCCAAAATATAGAAATATTTTCTATAACATAGGAAACATTTTCTAAAATGACCATAAAATTGTTCTAACCCTGTCTGAGTAGCCTAGGGGTTAGAACGTCTGTCCAGAAATCTAAGCACCGCAAGTTCAAGTTCAGCTGCCAACATCTTTCTTTTTTTTTTTTCTTACTTGTGTTATAATCACAGATGAGAAGTAATGCTTAGAACGACTAAAGGTTTTACCTCTTATGGAAAAGTAATTAAAATATTTTTTGTCATATGAAATATCATCTTAGAAAATTTATTTTAAATATTTCGACTTTCACAGTTGCGACTTAACGAGTTCTAAAAACTTTTTTAGCCTAATATTCTTCGCAAACGCCCCATCATATAGTCTTTGGTTTGCCATGCGCTTTTCGCGCGCGACCGTGGCTCCATTCAATGTCTTTGAAATCACGCGCGGGAGACCTGGGTTCGAATCCCACCGACGGACGAATAAAATTAAAAGTTTTTTCGGATAAGATACTTATCGGATATTACTTGTAAGAACTGAAATAAATCATAATTGTACTAATTTCTCTCTCTCTTCCCCACAGAATTACAGTTGAAATCGATATTGGCAAATTCATTAGTGCAATACTAATACAAAATTGGTGACTTTTCTGAATGAAAAGCGAAGTGCTTAAATCATATATATGTACATAAAATCCTGAATGAAAAATTACATCATGATGAATGTAGGCACATTTTTTCTAATTTTTAGAAAAAATACCCTACATTTAAGAAATATTTTTCTATTTTTTAGAAAAGTTTTTCTTGGATTTAGGGCTCTTTGCCTTAGATTTTAGAAAGGAACGCCCTTAATTTTAGAAAAATTTACCCTAAAATTTAAGGTGCGATGCCTTTGAAGTCAAAAATAGGGCGAATTTCTTGTTTTTAGGGTTAATTTTGGTATGAGTGTAGGCAATTTAAGCAAAAAAGGAAGGACTTAAAATAAAATTCAAAGAAGCGTTATATAATTTTTATAAATATGTTTTTATATTAATAATGACATAAATGCACTGTTAACTCTTTAAGCACCAATTTAATAATTTTACCTCAAATAACTGTGTCATTAAAGGGAAATCAACGTCTTTTTTTCACGAAACCCCATAAAGTGAAGACTTTATGAACGCCCTAAAGAGCGGGGGGCGTGGCCCGCCTTGCATGTCAAATGTTCATTTGACAAAATCAAAATAGAATAATTTAACTTTTAATTGGCAAGGAGTTGAAAGTTCACGTTCTTGTTATATGTAAATATGGCGAAATGTCTGTGCCGAAATTGGAAGTCAAGTTGGAGCAAGAACTTAGAACATCCCAACCTTTTGATCCCACCACTTTAAAACTAGCATACATAGTTCTCTGTCCTACTTCAAGAAATCGTTGGCCAAAAATTCCTTGGCCCAAATGGAAACCAGCGAACATTCCCGTCCCTGCCACTTACGAATTCATTTCACTGCCGCACTTTATCACCAAAAACTGGGAATGTTTTTCGGGGGCGATGAGAGGGTCGTTTTGAGGGCTGAGATCACCCAAAAAAAAAAAAAAATTGAATAAAAATGCACTCGGCGTGCAGGAGCAAAAGGCGAGATGTTGTGTAGCTAGTAGCTGCTAGCTACGTGTATTTCAAGTGCATATTTTGTTTGATAAATTGTTGGCCACGTTTTCGGAGCCGAAACAAAAAGGGGACCCAAGGAATGGGCGCCCGGGGAGACACAAATATGGCAGCAGCGGCGGCCCGGCAAAGTGTATAAACGTGCGGGCTCCCAGGGATGCCGGGCCATTCCCGATTCCCACCAGCTACGACTATATTGTATATGCAAAGTAAAAGTCTGGCCCCGAGGCGGTAAACAACCTGACGACGTCGACGAAATATGAAAGTGTTAAATGGCCAAGGGAGCGGAGTCATGTGGGGCCGGCTTGTGACTAGCATTCTGCCCTTAGCCTGCCGACTGTTGCCACTGCCACTGCCAGGGGTTCTTTGTAAGCCCACACTGCGAGAAAATCGGGCTAGGTTTAGG